AAGAGAGAGATTTTTCACGTCTGACGACGCAAGATAAGAAGACATTCCCTCAAGTAGCTTAGAAAATGTGTTCAAAGTGATTATACTATGTCGGAAGTTAATTTTTACTATGACGAACGCAAATAAGCTGGCGTTTCTCCAAATCTTTTTTATTACCAGTTAAACATTCAAATTTATTTTTTTTTTTTTTTGAATTATGAACTGGAATATTAAGATAGTCTGTCTTTTTTTGGAATTTTAGAATATATTTCAAACTAGAATATGTATGGTCTCTCATTTTCCTTGGTTTTTCAAATAATAATAAGTACGACGTTTTTATTAATACCGGCAAATTTTCTTACATTTTTAGAACAACGTTAACCAGTGGTGTTTGTAGAGTTAAACCAGTTCGCAAACAAGAAAGGCCCAGAACGTAATTTACATAATTCCATTAGAGTAAATAATTCCTTAATTATAATAATTTATTTTTTTTTCAAAAAAAACGTTTTGCTTTGTGTCCAGAGTTTTCATTTTCATGGAGCTCAAAAAACTATTATGAAAAGGTTTGGAATGAGAATGGGCCAATTTCATGTGTGTAAAAAAAGTTTAAGAAACAAGGGAACATACATTCCAACTTACCACAATTTCAACACGAAGAAGAATTTGAAATATGAACCTTTGGCGTCCAGAGGAATGTTGCAAAATAAATCTAGTACGCTTCGCCATTGGCTCTGCGAGTTGCCAAAAACATTGGGGCGTGGGCAAATCATAAACTTCCAAGAATCTACACGTGTTGTTCACTATAATCTGAAGTGCAAATTATATAATGTTCTAATATTCTTAAAATTGCGGAAATAATTCATCAGAAATCTTATAGTTGGTTAAGGATTTTGTTTGTTATGTTACGTGTATTAGTTGCATTCTTATGCAAAATAAGTTACAGCGGGAACAATAAACAATTCTAAAATTTAATGTAGAATTAGTCAAGAATTTAAAGCTTCTAAAGACGTTGAATGAGAAAAGATTACATTCGTTTAAGTTCGAATCGTGACTCGTAAATTGAGATGTGCCCTCTATAGCTAAAATTACTGAATTTCAATTGATTATTTTATTTTCGGCCGCGTCAAATTCTAATGACATTACTGCTGTTGATGTTGTTCATGTAATACGGTGAATGGAGGTTGTTTTCCTCTGTCGAAGGGTCTCTCCGGCGCCTACGAGGCTAGCGATTGATTGGTTAGCGATTTCGAGCCCGCCAACTGCTAGAGTCAGTAGTCCCGCAAGTGTAGTGCGTGTTTTTTCTTCGTGGGGATGATGGTGATCTCTCACTGAACGGGGAGACCCGGCGCTGTCCTAACTGTCGGCTAGCGGGGTTTTCTCCAACAGGTATCACCCACCAGCGCGGCACCGCCCCATACGAGACAAGCTCGAAGCTCCCGACTGTCCTCCCGTCATGTGTAGCTGGATAGTGCATAAAAGCGTGCGTGAATGTAATGAGGATAGGACAACGAAGGGGAAGGAAAGATCGCGCGTAGTCCGTAGCCCGTTTATTAGGGTACTGCTTCGGCATTCGGCTGTTATTCATCATTGAAACTACTAGAAACTATTCAGAGCATCCGGCCGCTAGAATATTTGCCCAGACAGCAACTCAATTCAACCTAGATCTGTACCTTGAAATTCTAGCCACCGTCGGGACTCAAACTTAGGACCTTCCTGTCAGAGGCATTGCAGTGACATCAGTTGATTTCTAGAACTACCTCTCCCTTGGCTTGTGGGGTTATTCTCCTTCCAGAAAACTCTGCCACCAGAATACCGTCCCAGCTGGGACAAGGCCTAAGTTACCGACTCGTATATCGGCCAGAATGGCAGTGTTAATGCTTGTAAGTGTGTGTGTGTGTTGGTAAGGAGAGAGAAGTGCAAAGATGAGAAAGGAAAGATTGCGCATGGACCACGGCCCGTTTGTTAAGGCAGAGCTCCGACATTTGCGTGGTATTGATCGGAGAACCACGAACAACTACCTATCAGAGCAGAATTATGCTAGAATTCTCTTTCAGATAGTGGCTGAATTAGGCCTAGCTAACTGGAAAATCCCTTAGGGTCGAGAGTCGAAACCTAAGTCGTCCTGGTCCGAGACGTTACAATGGCAACAGCTGTTGCTTTTAGCCACTCTAGCCCTAATTTCGTTTGCGTGTGGTTCATTTTGAACCACTGCGCTCCGGGCCCCCCACCCCGAGGAGGTGGCGCCGGCGGCCGCGACCGGGAGATTTATCCGCAGCCGCCCCGCTTCGGGCAAGCGCCCCCCCCCCCGGCTCTCCCTGCCGTCGCCCGCCGGCGGCGTCATGAAGAAATAAATAAATGAACACTTCACTCCGCCGATACATCAATCAAATAAATAACGATACCGGCGGTGGCGGCAGGGCGTGGCCAGGCGACACTGATTAGGTCGGCGGGCGAGCCGGCATTGGAAAGCTCCAGGTGTGGACGACGAAAGACACTGATAGCATGTTCGAGGTAATCGTTTCTAACACGATAATGTGCATGGTCAATTGTACCTGATAATGTGCGGTAATAAGTAGTGTATGAGAAAGATGAGCTTTATATTAAATTTCAATTTACTTCTGTACTTTTCAGAAAGGGCGTTATATATGTATCACAGCCGAAAACTATATGTGGTTTTTGGAAAATGGGTTTCCGTTTTTGGACGCTGAGGAATGCATTGACAGAGTTTTTAATTTAATAAAGAGATTCCGAAAACATGTACTATTCTTCAGGTGTGCTAACTATTATTCTTTATGTACAAATTATTAGTTGTGGAAGTTCTGTGTAAATAAATATTCCAATATTGACAGATTTACAAATTATAAACATGGGGAAGTAATTAGCATACAAAATAGTTGATATTAATGATGTCGATTGTAACACATTGTATAAGTGCTTATCGATAATGCTTGCAATATAAAGCTTAGTAGTGTTGTGTCACAAAGATATACTATAAAATTTGATCAATAACGTAAAGAATAATTATTTTACTTTAATATTTCAATTAACTTTTGTGGGACATTTGCGAAGAATATACAGAAAACATTCTATTCGTCGTCAATGGGCATTTAATATTGAAACATTATGTCGTTTATATGTCTCACAAATATTACGATAAAGCTTCCGTGATAGGTTACAAAGATACAGTGACATAGATTGCATTAGATGACTCGTAATTTGATAGGTGTAGTTGGAAGTTTGGGGGTAAGGATGGCACGACGTTTAATCTGTAAGTGACAAGTTTGAGGTTCGTAAGAGGCTTTCAAGGATAGATCCATTGTATTGAGGGAGTTACATGGTACGCGCAAGTTTTCATGATATTCCACCGCGGGGATTCCGAGGGGAAGATATCACAGCCTACGTCACATCTTTAACAGGCCCTGCCCTTACGACGAAATGGTCATTTCTAGTTCCTATTCCACCTTTCTTACTACAGTCAACTTCACATTTCTTTGCATACACGACTACAGGGCGGACGTCGCCCCTTTCAGAACCTCTCTTGTCAACAAAGTAAACATTTCTGTTTGACTTATCAATTCATAATTTTTGTATTGATGTGTACACATTTCTTTATCTTTATTTTAATCACAGTCAGCTCTTTTAAACAGGTATTCTGACATTTTAATAAGCCGATGAAGCATAAAGGATATAATTAGCGAATGAAACTAGCGATCGTTATAGTTGAATAAAGGATTAACTCTAAAATGTATAAAAACATTATAGGAATACACACAAGCCGTTAATAAACGCACTGATACAAATAATATTTTAATAATTTGAAAATGTTTGAAGGAGGTACATTTTGACAACTTAGAAAATGGCTATTCTCCAATCAATTGAAATTGTTTCTGTCGTTTGATCATTTGGAACATGGTTATTCAATAGAAAGCTTCAATACCAAAGATTATGACGTAACGAAGCTCTCGATTGGAAAAATACGTTCACGTGATCGGACGCCAGATGTCAACCGAATGTTAATTCCGAATATCCGTAGGTGTTGTTCCGACATGTTTCTCAATTTACCGCAACACTCACCGCTGGGCAAGGAATAGTGGGATGAGCATCAATAATAGTGCAAGTACTTGCCTATACCCATCAAACATGTTGCATAGAATTATTTTTGGCCTGCTCAATCGGTAACGTTTTATTCAAATTGATTTCATCTTGAGAAAAACAGTTTCACAAGTTTTTTTTTCATAAAAATAACAACATATATGAGCAAACACGAAAGTCTACCTGCTGATGAAACGTAAATCATTCCACATAGAACTTAAAACCTCAAAGAGCGCGTGAATAACTACCAGGAGGTATCTTCAGCCGGTATAAAAGGCACAAGACGCCTTCCAGTCGAATCGGCAGCGTGAGGTCGAAGCGCGTCGACTTCAGAGCCATCGATAGTCGTCGTTTCGCCAGATCGGAAGCGAAAGGAACCATTGGTATCGATGTGAAAAATATTATGCGGCCGGAAAGCCGAGCCCCTCTGATTTTTGACGTCAGATAAATTTTAATTTATTGACGCGCGGAATTTAAAGTGGCTGGTTCGATGGCGAGCGAGTCGCTTCTCGCTCTAATGCAGCGGTGAATGCCAGCGCACGAGGCGGAGCGCGGGAGGTCGACGGACAGCGCGCTGCGGGGCGGGGTGGCGGTGGATGGGCAGGACTGGATGATGTGGTGGAGGGTGCGGGGTGGGGGCTGAGTAGGGGAGAGGTTGAGAATTGGGCCAGAAGGAGAGCTGCACGTGGCGATACGAGACTGGGCTGGGTCGGTGGTAACGTAGAGAGGGATAAGGAGGGAACGGGTGGGATTGATTGATTGAGTGTTATTGATTCCTCGCGCATCAACTGCAACGTTCGTTGGTCCCGTGAGTGTAGTGCATGCATTTCTCTGGAAGTTGCGGTGATCTGCTAGATGGTGAAATTAGATCTAGCGTTGATTAGCGAGGTTGTCCCAATCTTCCGCCAGCTGGGCACCGCCCTAGCCGGGATAAGGTCTAAGCTTCCGACTGGCCTCCCGGCATGTGTGGTAGTAAAGTGCAAGTTAGTGTGCGTTAATAAAGGGTGAGGATAGGACAAGGAAGAGGAAGGAAAGATCGCGCGCGGACCGTAGCCCATTTGTTAGAGTACTGCTCCGGCATTCTCCTGATATTGGTCATTGAAACCGCGTGAAACTATCGATCACAGCAGCCGGACGCTAGAACTAGAGCTCTTCCAGCGTCAGAACTAGACCTGGAATCGCAGACTCGTTGAAAATCCGACCACCGTTGGGACTCGAACCAAGGACCTTCCGGCCAGAAGCACTGCATTGACATCGGTTGATGCCCTAAGCCACATCTCTCGGTGCGGGTGGAATGAGCGAAGCTTCGCGGGGAGTGAGATGTGGGATAAAAGGGGTAAGAATAAGGAGGGGGGTCGGACGGGAGAATTAGTGGACGGTGTCGACGTTTGGCTGGACCGCCCAGGAAGGCGGGAGAGGGAGCAGGAGCCGGCGGACAAAACAGCAACAAGACGAGGGGGAAAGGGATTGGCGAGGGCATGAGAGAAGGGTCTGACCGTTAGCAGGACGTCGGAGGACCGTCATGGGCTAGTGACCTTGTGTGGGCGATGAAACGAGGCAGGTTTCTACAGAATTTGGACCAAAAAAATATGGCGGATGCGCGAGAAACGCCAGCAAGCCCGGAGGGTGCGGGCGAATCAGATTGAATATTTTCGTGTTTTCATGGTGCGTGAACGTCTGATAGACTTTATCACCCGTAAGTGTATGTGCGTGTTTCTATCACGGAAGGGGAGCATCTTGCCCCGCTGCGTGACGATATCCGGTGCTGGACGCTATACTCGCTTGGCGAGTTTTTCCCCAGTTATATAAAAGAGCATTCAACGGATTTTGGGAGCCCGATATAATTTGCACAGATTGTAATTTCTTTCTCTACGTGACCTAGTGTGTCCCTCGCGGCTAGCTGTTAGTCAGCCGGCTCGCATTCCACTACGCGCCCCAGGTCGATTCCCGGTCAAGGCAAGATTATAATTTACCGGCAACATGTCCAGTATATGTTGCTGTGCGACGATGATAAAATCCACTTCGCAGGTTGAGAATATTGGAATACGGCATGGGGATGTCAACGTGCTAAACACACGTACACTCTTACCCCACGCACCTTAACCCGTGGTCGCGAGGCAGTGACGTCGCTGGTAGGCCTGAGCCCGTTTAAGGGCTGTCGCGCCTAGTACATTTCTACAATTACAATATTATATCGTGAAATCGCTTACCACGATCGTCCGTCACATCTTCAAGATTAGGTGGGAAGAAATAGAAATGGAAATGAAGGAAATGTAATTTCAGGGACACGTTGTACCTCTTTGCCTTGAAACATTCAACATATGTTCAGTTACCTGTAATTCTCAGACATTGTTTCCCAAGACATTGTTACTTACATCTTTCAATGCAGGACAAGCTGCCTTCTCTATAACTGACAGCAACTGTTCAAAGGTAATATCTTTCATCAAGTCACGGATCTGAGGCACAATGAAAATTCCGTCAGTAATTTTTCAGTAATAGTGGCCGGATATTTAGATAGCAAAAATTGAAAACCCTGGCCATCTTTGTCTATTGGTTTCACAAAATACTTCAAGAAGCCCAATTTCAGAAGGAATGGTGGTAACATCACACTGTCTTATTCAATTATGGATTCATGAGACATTGTTTTCACCGGGATTAAAAATTTCTTTCAAATACCACTCTTTCGTTAGATAATGTTCTTTCTTTGCCTTTCTAATTCAGTGGCACAAGAAATAACAATATTTTGTGTAAGATGTCTACATTTCTATACGAAGCCCCAGAACTCTTGATATGATCAAAGGTTTTCAATTGGTTTTTAGAAAAGCCAGTGCACTCCTGATGTTGTCGTCTCATGTCTTGGTCTCTACGTTCCATCTACAACTGTGGCACGGTAACTGTGGTAATGGTGTAGATAGGTCGGTTCCATGCAACCAGGTTCTCAAATAGCGGGATAAAGATGAGCAACAGTTCTGTGGTGACCAACAATTATCCTCATGTACCTTTGATTCAAAATACAACTTGTATGCTTTTTTAGCGATCGGATAAATGGAATATTTTTGACAATTAGTCGTAAGCTGGCCACACACAAAAATATTATGTGTGTGTGATGAATTAACAGACTTCCTATATTTCCATATTGTTGGGTATGAGAAAGACAAGAACATGCACAAAACAATATTATTCGCGGTAGCGAATTTACACAATTCAAGAATAGATACTGGACGATCTCACGCATCATGGATTGTGTAATGCAAAAGTAACTTCATTTCACTTACCCCAAGTGCTTATTTCACTCTCCCCTCTATCATCACACCAGGCAATAATATTCCTAAAATAACAGGATGTGTAAGCGCCGCGACAACATAATTAACGCAACTGAGCGCAGATAAAATTGCGTTTCCAGAAGAAAATTTAGGTGATAGCGGAAAATGGCTTTCACCATTGCCATCAGAGCACTGAACAACATAACAATCACATATTTTTATTTTGCGACACATTTCATTGTCGCACTGAGTAATTTCATTACAAACGCACATCAGCACATTACCTTATCTTACGGTAACTACAAAGAGGTTATGCACCGACATTTTCCATATTCCTCGACGAATTGACGCTCACACAACTTCGTCCTCTGCTTTCACATGTGGTGAAGTAACTTGGAGGCGGTAAGGGGCAAAGTTGCACTGTGTCGACAAGGCATGCAGGAATCATTGCGGCTCCGCCTGCTTTGTTGTGCGAGTCCAATAGAACAATGGCGAGGAGAACGGTTAGCAAAGGACGTTGAATAGACGTGCACGAGTTTGGGACTGTTGCTATGCGGCGTCATAGAACACGCTAAAATCTAAATGACTAAGTTCATACGCGTTGAAACCCCTAAATATTTTTGTAATCATTTTTGGTTTATTTGGATGATGTTAGCTGAGATTTTTGCTCTCCGTGGAAATTTTCAGAGAAATAAGCAAAACATGTTGGAGGGCAATTTACTCGAAATTCTCACTTTTAAATGAGTTTTGTTCAATCATTGCATCTCCACAATGTACCTAATTATAATTAAATTTTGATTTATTTTGTCAAAAACAGTAAAAACTGTATGTGACGTATTGGGGAGAAGATCATCTGCGCACATTATTATTATATTACGCACATATTATATCATTTAGGATGACGTTTAAACTCGAGTTTGAGTTATAGTAAAACTAGTAGCTCTTAAACTGCACGGTACATTTCCGACCGTCTTAACAAAAATTTAGATTATGATGAATTCATTCATTATCTTGCACACTTAGGGACAGATTTTATGAAAATTAAATTTCCTGCGGCTCTTTCATTTTATATCATGTAATAGTATGCCGTAGGGACTTAAAATTACTGTCAATTGAATTGCAGCCACCGACTGTACCTTAGTCAGTAATTTATTAGTAATTGATTACGTAATACTCTTTATACCACAATTTCTCTCCAATATTTCCTTTGCAAAAATTAATTTGAAATTTGGAACATTTAGGGCCGAGAAATGAGCAGAATGAAAGAAAGTAAAATATTTAAAAGTTAATAAATTAATGCGATAATGATAGCGTTTGAAACAAATAGGTGGAAAAAAATTATAATTAGTAGTTATTAAACAACAATGGTATCTTGTAATATTCTACACACATATTAAAAGTATTTCGTTTTTATCTTTAGCCGCGAATAAAAAGCACCCGTCATTATGGTGTTATTTATGCGCGCGTTATAATAATGGGTAACAAACAACTAACAATGACCGCTCAATCTTCTGTTTTCACATTTAACACAATAATAAGTAAGTCAAATAGAGTAATAGTTAAATTCATGAAATCATTTGGTAAAATAAAATTTGTTAGAACATTTCGCAAACAAGGATAAATTGATAGAATTTTATTACATTTGCTTGTAATGTATTTAAGTGTCATAATAACTATCGGAAATACTTTAAGAAAAGTTGACATTT